AGAGGGGAGGGGGGGGTTCGTTCCGAAGTGCTTGTTCTCTTCATGGAGAACTGCGTGTGTGTGTGGTCTGGTGTAGACAAATTTGTACATACTTTAGTTTATTATACCATCTTTTCTTTGACGCTCTCATCAAAAAGTACAGTTGTTTATATACATAAATATATATATATATTTCGACAGAGCCATAGCAGGGAAATTAGGTGGGTGGTTGGCAGGTGCTCCGGTGTGGTTTGCTCCTTCTTCCCTATAAAAAATCTATCGTTTCTATCTCTTCTCCTTCTTTTTTGTGTTTGTTACTCTCTTGTAACACCTCTAATCTTCGGCACTTTTATGACCTTATTGTGTTGCAAGTGCCGTAAAACTCTTTCTAAAACTGAAAAGGGAAATGAGAGCAAGTTGTGTGGAGTCTTGTGTTGGAAGAAACAGTTTTGAAATGACAAGTGAAGAAAGTCTGCTGCCTCCCTCAGTTGTGTTGTGATGTGCTCTTAATTAAGATCGTTTTTACCTGTATACTCATCTGGCTTTATGACGTACATGTACATATATTACAATCGACTTATGTATAATTTGACGCGGTTCATGTGTGGTTTTACCTTTGTGTGAGAAATAGGAATGAACGACTGAATGGAGTGAGTATCTGGCCCCATGCTAGTGCCTCTTTCATAGTGGCGTCGGTGGCCTAGTGGTTAGGCTCTCGGACTCGCAGCCGTAAGGTCGTGGGTTCGAATCACGTCAGGGACCCGACGTTGTGTCCTTTGGAAAGGCACTTTACACGAATTTTCCTCACTTCACCCAGGTGGGAATGGGTACTCGGCTATAGACAGCGAAAGATCTTGTCAGTTTATTAGTGTTTGAGCGCTTAATCAGCTGCTTGCACTGTATGCTTCCCGGGAAGCTGAGAATGTTTAGGAGTATTCTATGGTCTGCTGAGGTAATAATATAGTGTAAAGCGCATAGAGCCTGCTGTTGAGCGGGGATATGCGCTATACAAACGCTATTTATTATTATTTTTATTATTATTAGTGGAATAAGGAGTGTAATGAACTTAAAACGTATATATATATATGTGTGTGTGAAGCGTGCTGACAAAATGAGTTGCTTCTCGGATTTGAGCCTTTTGGAAATAGATACATCGTGCTTATAGGTGGAGTTTTTACAATTTATAAGCATGAAATGATAAACGGCATGTTATAGTTAAAGAATACTGCATCAATAGAAAATCTACAAATTTGACCTAGCGTCGATTTTTGGCCAATATCTCCAACTCATATGACCGTATGCAGTTGCGAGCGCCGTAAAACCCTCTACTATAATGTCTCCACTTGTGGATTGTGAAATGTAACTCGTTTTGTTCCCACGTCTCTTTTTTATCAGTTGTCTGGACAAAAATGCTGACTTACAAGCATGCCTGCTTGGATGGCGTTTGATGTGGTTCTCATAACTATATATTGTTTGTTTGATTTTTCTTTTTTTTTTTTTTTTTTTTTTTTTTCCTTTTTTTTTAGAAGTATGAAGTTTTCTTGGTGAAGCTCTTTGTATGATTCTCTTGTGTGTGGCTCGAAAGACTTTGGCAGAGAATTTACAGTATTGATGTAATGAAAATAGAACGTGTGTTTACTTGTACCAGGGTATTTTATTTTATGGATATGTTTTTAACTGAATTAAGTTTTTGAGTATCATTCAAGCCGATGCCTTTTAGTAACATTTTGTTCTTTGTATATGTGTGTGTGGGTGATGAGAACGTGAACAAGACCAAATTTCATCTTCATATTTGGAACAGGGCAGCTTTGAGGTGGTGATTGATTGCTGAGGGCTGTTAGATTTATGTGTTGTCTACAGGGGTGTGTTCACAGGTGTGTACTCATACGTACATACATACATACACACACACACACACACACACACACACACACACACACACACACACACACACACACACACACACACACACACACACACACACATAGCATGCACAGACTCATGCACACACACACAATCACACATGCTCACACACTCACACATACACACACACACACACACTCACACATACACCCACCCACACCCACGCACGCTGACACTTATATAAAGACACTATCACCCACACACATACGCATACACTCACACACACACTCACATATACACACGTCCACACCCACACATGCTGACATTTACATAAAGACACACCCACGCACATGCGCATACACTCACACATACACACACACTCACATACAGACACAGACAAATAAACACACACACTCGCATGCCCACACATGTGCACAAATGTGTGTGGTTGTCAGGTGCTCTGGTGTGGTTTGCTCCTTCTTTCCCTTCAGATGTCCATCATCTTCATCTTTCCTCCCTTCTTTACTTTGTATGTTACTGTCCAGTGACACCTTTAATCTTCGGCACTTATATGACCTAATTGTGTTGCAAGTGCCGTAAAATTTTACTAAAACTAAAACACACAATTGTGAAGTGATCCGAGGTTCTACCTCAATAGATTTTGGGTTTTCTGATTTTTGTCATAGCTCAGTCTGTCTGGCCAGTGAGAACTACATTGTCTGTGTTCATTTTTTGTGAATTGTCCTAACAGTTTTGGTTGTGAAAACGCATGTCATATGTGTTGAGTATGAATAGGAACCCGGGACCTTTGAATGAGAGGCGAACACCTCAACCTCTAGGCCACAAGAGCCCCCTAGACAGATTGTGTTGTTTGAGTTTTTGTCGGTTTGACAAAGTAGAAGAGCCAAAGGGGGGATATTAACATGTTCTTATGCACAGTAGAATTGTAAATGGGCTGATTTATCAATGTCATGCTCATACTGTGCCGGAAAAACACAGGGGGAACTGCTGCTTTTTCATTCCTCATCCTTACTATCTTCATTTTTCCTCAACTTATTTCTGTATGTTTGTCACACTCTTGTGAACTGCTATTTACGGGGTGCCTTGATAGTTGAAGCAGACTTCGTGCTGTTGAGGCTAGAGAGGTGAGCAGAGTAAACCCGATTCCCTGTAAGGACTTCTCTGTTG